ATTGTCAACTTTTTGGGAGCCTTGAACAGCCACCTCCACGTGGTGCTCCCGGGTCATGCCAAGAGCTGTTCAGTTTTTGAGGTTAGGTTCCCAGATTTGAACTTTACTCAAAAACATTGCAGTGTCACCGAAGTGACCGATAAACATACATATATATATATATATATATATAGTCACATACATATATATATATTCATATATATATATATATATATATATATGTGTTCCTACAAAGTTTTGGAAAGATTCAGTTTTTCCTTTTTTTCGGAAAAATTCGTCATACGTATTTTCTGATTTGTGAAAATCAGCTATTCACTTGAATATAGACAGAAAGTTTCATCTCATTACAACAATGGTTTAATAAATTATGTAAATAATAGAGAGTAAGAATATTTGAAGTGATACGTAATTATGGGAACACATCGAATTTAGAAAAAAATACGAAACGAAAGATCAGAGCTGGGTATTTCTCGAATGTGTAGACCCTGTAATGGTTCCGACTGGACAGATGACAAACGGTTATTGTTTAACTGCTTTTGGTATAAACTCAACCTTTTATTTTCTCTCGAAATTACAAAATCCCGTTAAAAACCTATTTATGCCATCGGTGCCCGCTTCGCTCGGTTAAATCGCGGATTCCGGGCGCGATGACATAAAATTTTGTATGAAACGCGTGCGTAATATATTTTTCGACTCGTGGGATTGTAAAACTCGCCTTCGGCTCGTGTTACAAACCTCCCACGAGTAAAAAAATATATTACGCACGTGTTGCATAATATACTATTCTTTTACATTCAACACGAGCCCCGCAGAAATGCGAAGTTTTGATGCCGTATCATTTGTTGTGCCACCCTGCCGTAAAAGAACCTCTCGGAGTGAAACCCTATCATGAAATAATTCATAAACTTTCCTTAATGAGTTTCCAGATGCCCATAGAATCCTAATCCGGGAAAACCACCCTCCTTTCATTGAGTCATCAAATTCCTCGATTCTCCATACCAGCTGCTCCCCTTTCCCAAAACTGTCGCATTGGGCTTACCTCACAGGCACTCCATTAGAGAATAAGTGGGACTCTGACGTCAAGGAGCGTGGGGAGCGAGGCCTTTCAAGATAGACTACCACTTGGAATTACCTTGAATTTGAACCTTTGAACCATTCCACGGATAACTTACCCGCCCTCTTCCATATAAATAACCAGATCGGAAAACGTCGTACAAGATTGTAGGTGAAACAGCAAACCAGAGTGCCATCGAGTTGATATAAAATTAAGAATACAATTAGGAAAGACCGAGGATTCCGGTAGAGGTTAAGAATTAAGGGTTATAATTCAGCGCCTCTTGATATGTTGCCGAAAACAGACGGATAAAAAGACAGAATGGTAGGGTTAGCCCATTCTCGCGACAAGACATACGATAAATTCCAATGAGTTGTCGATAAGGTCTGGTTAATTCTATAAAGAAGGAGAGAGGTTGCCGAAATAATATAAAAGAGAATGCGTGACCAGAGATCGCCACTGTGTCCGCCATAGAGATGCAGTGGGGACCCGTGCAGGCTTGCCGTGAAATACCAAATTGGCGGATATTGAACACGAGCGGAAGTATTGAGTCGCTCAGGGAGCTAGGATATGGATAGGGGGTTGAGATTCTTTAAGAAGGTCGGTCCTCGCTAGTTGAAGGTGGTTAAGGTAGAATGATCGAAAACAGGTGGTGTCGCTAGTGTAGAGAGCTATCGGTCATTAGATAGCGCTCATTATACTGTAGCGTATTACACCTTCGAATACCGATGCAATTGTTTATGTTCTGCCCGAAACCACTTAGGAACGGCTGTCCTTTGAAATAACATGCCACCGATGGATTCTCCTTGAAACGATTGTACAGAACACATCGTTTGTCTTCTGTGTAATTAATAAACAGCCCCAATCATTCGATCAGTGAGCCGCCTGCATTATTCACTGGACATAACAATACTTTAGCATGAAAGAGAGATTATGATGAGCAAAGTGATAGAGCGGGCTATAGCCACGCTCATGAGCTACAGGCTGTGAGAGCACGGCCCGTGGAGTGGAGAGTGCTCACCTCGTAAGCTCTGCTTCCCACTCCTGACTCACACGGCTAGAGTGCGCGGGGGATCGTTCGCGGTGCTGCCATTCTTGATGAGTTTTATCTCTTGAAATATTACTAAGAAAATTTCCAACTACTCTTGTTAAACATGCATACTCGCTCTCACTGACAACTGCGCTAAGGTGTGCGCACGTGATAGGACACCAACTTTTTGGTGGCTCTGCTTATCAGCAACAAATAATTTGAGTGCTAGATATTTTTTGAAACCCTGGGTAATGGATTCCAACGGGAAGATTCCAATGAAGGGGCAGATCAACTACACATGAATATAAAAACTAAATATCTCAGAAGGAGAGTGGATTCCTTCAACGAATTCGTGATCTATTAAGTATACCGGGACTCCGTTTGAACCTGGCGGTATTAAACGAATATCAAGTATACGAGGGCGATCTAAAGCTTCGTCGAATTTTTATGTTTATCACACATATTGTCTAATATACGTGGATCTTATGGACAGTTATTCGATACTATTCAATATTCTTACATTCTCCGATTGATTAAAATATTCTTACATTCTCCGATTGATTAAAATGATACGTACAGTGCGACTTCAGAAAGTTACTTCTATAGCGTGGCCACTGTCTGAAATAGTTTGTTCAAGTTTCCAATCTTATAGATTGAATTATACCCACCCTTGGATTGCACGGATATGAGGATTGGCACCCGCCTGCAGGAGTTCCTGACATATTGCTACATCCCCGCGGCCAATAGCTTCGTGTAATGGTGTAACACCACAGCTATTTTCTGCATTGACATTCGCGCCATGATCTAAACGAAATAAAATAACAATTTTGTAATGTTATAAATCCTATAATTTTATTCTGCAACAATTCTATAAGCTACTATGAATATAATTACCGACCTATAAGGCATGTCATCATTTCTTTGTTGCCGTAACATGCTGCCCAGTGCAATGGTGTATTCTTGCTACCTTCAGAGTCCCACGAATTAATGTCAATTCCCGCTGCCAATAGTTGTAAAACTCTATCTATTCTGAAAGAAATGCACAAACTAAGACATTTTGCTATTCAGAATCGTGTCAACGAATTTGTTAGGTGATCTACGTACTCTGATGCAGCTGTTGCTCTCAATAATTCCTCGACATAAATTAAGCGAATCACTTCGCTTGCTGCCACATCGACTGCATTATGCCCATGTGTATTCTTAATGGCTGGATCAGCTCCATAATTCAATAGTGTTCGAACAACGTCTACCTGATTTATCTAGAATGCGAACATTACCATTTATTCATCATAGATAATTTTGACTATTACATGTTCAATTTACAATTTTATGGAATCATTTCATATAGTTTCATGAATATTGAAAAAACAGAATTTACTGAATTTTTATTTATATTAAGATAGTTCAACCGACAGTAATGGTTGGGCGAGTAAGGTGTTGCTCCTGCGGACATCCAAGCTAAGCAACGTTTCGTTGGGCTAGTACTTGGATGGGTGACCGCTTAGGAACACCGCTCGCTCAAAAATTGCTGAGCGGAAGGCTCGGATGTAGAGACCCAGTGTATCCTTCTCGTCAGTGTGACAGAAGGGTACACTAGGGCCCTACACGATCGGCCGACTGTACGGTTGAGGTTTTCCATGGTTTCCCTCAGCCCCCGTGCAAATGCAGTACAGTTGGGGAAAAAGTCGGCCCCATGGCTCCGCAGGGGAAGGGAACAAAATGTAATGACCCGAAAGGGTATACATGTGGAATAATAAATAATAATACTATTAAGATAGTTCTGGTTATTTTTCAGCATTTTACGCCATTTTGTGTTTAAAAGTACACAAAAAAACATGTTCCATGCTGGAATGCGAAAGCGGGATTCTATGTGCTCATCTACGGAGATACGACTTCTTTTGTTGTCATTCTATTGGTAGGAAATATATAAGAGTATTGATCAGCATACAGAACGGTTTCCCTGGGGAGACATGCCATGTACAGAGTTATAAATACATAATTATTACCATCCCAACCTCGGGTGGCCCTTCGGTATGGATTTAGTCACTTCGATAAGCCCCACTATACTTGCGGATTTCACTATAGCTAATTGAATGATCAATCGAGTAATCTTATGGAAAAGCCAGCTACTATTGCATTCTCGAAAAATTGAAGGAAGAGGGGTGGGTACCCAAGAGAATAGCTGCCAGTATGGTTCCTGGGGAGCTGTGTATAGCTTGACTCCAATGACGTACTCCGCATGGATGTCGCGAGACCAGTGGATGCTATCAGAGGCAATGAGCCGGTGTCTCATTGGCGCGTATTGCTCGCTAATACGAAGGAGAACAGTCGGAGCCCTCTAAGGATGAGATCTCTCATACGGGGGTATCTTATTCAGAGACTCTACTATAGTACCCACTTGGCAATATTGTACCCTGCGTGAGGGGTACTTATTTTTATTGTAAATTCTAGGCTCGAAGGGATGAATCCCACCAATAGTTTATAGGTATTTAAATATGAAAGTTCATTACTTTAATTATGTCATCTGACTGATTACAAAGATTACGACTAACACATGGTGGAACCCGATTTGGATCTGCCTTCTGAATACCAAAATGGCCTCTTGAATACATAATTGTTTGTGTGTCATTACCTGGTTAGCATAATTCAATTATGCTGGCAAGTGTCACGCTAACCTTGCTGGATGTCAAAATATTTAACGATAACCTAATTGACCAAAATCTGAGGCATAACACCAGCATTTTTTAATTTTCATGCTAATAACATTGAACGTGACTTTAAGCCTTTCGGTGGACGAAAGCCAAAACATTGATTTTTCATTGCTCTTTTTTGAAATGCAATTCCCTAAACGAAAAATATATGTGACCGTCCATATGAAAATAACCCTTCTACACACTTCTAGTGCTCGATCCTAACAAACCAATTTAAGAGTAAATTGAGCATCAATTTGTTCCCGCGCTTGAGAAAGAATTAAGAGTCAACTCAATATATTCTCTACTTCTTTGAGAACTAAGAATTCGATTATTTTTTTCGGGGGGGTTTCGATTTGACCCACAAAAAGTGCAAGATTCTTCAAAGGATGGTCCGCGCTTGAAGGAAAGTTAATTCGGGGGTGACTGAAAGATGGGTCAGAATTGGTCAAAATTGGTCCAAGATTGAGTCACGGTTAGTCAAAAGATGATGTAAGATAGATCAAGAACTAGTCCAAGATCAAGCTCAAGATCCACGATCAGACCGGAGTCAAAGATTAGCCTAAAAAGAACTCAAGATTACACAAGAGTTTCTCCAAGATGGTAAATGTCTAGTTCAGTTCTACCAAACCATTTCGGATGTTTTGTATTTGATTGGATGGGTTTCCATCACTTAATTAAGGATGTGGTCACCTTTTTAGCCGGAAACAATTAGTATAGGAGATATGACATTAAATACAGCGCTCTCTGCGTTGTCCAGGGCCACGGCGAGGACGAGGCGGTGTGTTGGCCCCAAAAACACCACATGTTAGCACATTTAGAGGCAATGGACACGCAGAAAGATGGACATCAAATAGTCCTGAGCACTTCATTAAAACTCTGAATTCGCCTCTCCCGACCATCTACCATGACCATGTCACGGACAACAGAGTTTACCGTAGGACTATTTTTCGATGTATTTCCCGCTTTGTTGTTTCTCAGTTTCTTCTTTCCTCTTGTTCTTGGTAACTGAGAGGATAAGAATGGATTTTTCGTCAAAGAAATTCATATTTTAATGATTTTTGTTTTTTTGGTGAATCTAAACCATACATTTACCGTTCTTCTTTCCATGAAAAATCAGGAAATAATGAAACAATCTTTTCCATTTTTGAACTCGATAAGATCGAACCAAATATTCAAGCCCAGATTCGACTGATGTCAACAATTTATCTTTGATTGACTTGTGCTAATACTAAATCGGCCATATACACAGCTGCATCCAAAAAAACGATACATACAAATCGCACATTTATTATGGTGATACCATAATTAGTAATATAAAAAAGACCAGAACTGGGGATTTGAAGATGATAATCTTAAAGATTTCGGAATGGACTTTTCGATTCTTACTGGTTTCTTAATTTACTCTGAACTTTTCCGACGGTTGAGGATTTGATTGATTTCGTGTTTTTAGTTGTCGCTCAACTTTCTTTATATGCTGAGGAAACACTGAGAATCAAAATAGTATATGGTGCATCAACAGCGGAAGGTTAGTGTTTTCCCGCCCGAGGCTTTGCTGTCTGAAAAGCGGAAGGAGAGTGTATATTTTTCGCCCTAAGGTGAAAAGTTGCTCCCATCGGCGGAAATGTTGACTTCACCCCCCCCCCCCCCCCCCCCCCCCCGGGGAGCAAAGTGCAAACTTTCCGTGCAGGTGTGTTGAAAATTCTATCTTATGTCTCAACTCTCAAAAAAGTTGACAAGACAAGACATTGAAAGAAGATTTAGAATCGATAATCTTACGTTTGAAAATGGAGAAAATCGAGGTTGCAACTTTCAAAAGAATCGAGAATAAAGTGGGAGACTATTGAGAATCAAACATCGTATTTTTGAAAATCGAAAATAATCGAATGTTCAATTCTGAAAAAAGTGGAGTATATATTGAGAGCCCATTGAGAATTTAAAATTCTATTTTCAAAAGGAGAGAACAATTGAATTCTCAATTTTCGAAAACCGACAGATCATTCTGGAAAACCTCTAAAAATAGAAAATGCAATAGCCAATTTTGAAGTAAGTCAACTCAAAGTATAGTGGTGGATTCTCTCTCAGGAACAAATCAAGAGTCCAACTCTCAACTTGGTCCGCCAGGGGAGATATCGGTACTTCTGTGATTTGAAGACAATTGTAGAAGACAACTTTTGGTTTTTCTTCAGAAAACAAAGAATTATTTCCGGAAAAAACAAGGTGAGATATGAGATGCGTTTTTTCTTTTCGCGGGACAGATATTTGATTCAGTTTTGATGACTTATAACCTTATTAAACCTGTTGTTGGTCGAATTTAGTCAAAGTTTAGTCCAAATTTAGCCATAACTCGGTCAAGATTTCTTTGGAATTCAGTGAGAATGCAATTGGGATTATTCATCACCTAGTCGTATGCACCGGCAATGCGCTCGTGATTTATTAAAGTTTCATCAACAGAACACAGTAACTAATCAAGTAACTCACTATTTATTCAGGGGAAAAATACTGCGTTGATTACATGAAAAGGTACGCACGCCATTACAGATAATAGAAGTCGATAAAACTGAATCATTACAATGAGTAATGATTTACTGTCACTAAACCTTGTGTGAAAATCGATATGGTAGAAATCCCTTAAGGGGTTACACTACCCTGATGCTCGGAAAAACAGGTCAAAAAATGAATTTGTTTTCTAACGCACTTATAATATTTATACGAAAACTTTTATTTTTCATACATATCATAGATATTTCCGAACAATTTCCAAGAAAAATTTTTTTTTTTATTAAAGAATGGCGGAGCTATAATTTTTTGGTAGGTGCCTGTTTTTCCAAAGCCTTGTTAACGGTGAACACGATTTCTCACTGGGGTTCATTTGAAAAATCCAAAAAAATTATTTTATTATTTTTTTTTATTAAAAAAACACAATTTCGTTATAAATTTTTGGTAAAATAAATTTATAACTTGACAATGAAACAATAAATCACGAAAAGCTCTCGTAGTTCCATAGATGATTTTATAAAGAATAAGTGGTCAAAATTTCATCGAAATCGGTGGTTTAGATTTTGAGTTATCGTGTCCACCAGTATGAAAAACGTGGTTTCGAGAAAAACGCAAAAAAAAAGAAAAACCGGCGCGGCAGCAGCCAAAAATCAAGTTTTTTTTGGTTTATTTTCAGTCAAAGAGTTAATATGCGCAGTTGACGATATTTACGCTCTGATGTCACAAAGCAAACTGAAGACAGGGTATGAGTCATACACATAAGGATTGAACACAATTATGTTTGTGCACAGATGTAAAAATCAAATGAAATATGCACATTTGATTTTTAAACGTGCACATCAAATTTGTCCACGGAATTTCGCTCCATTAAGTTGTACACAGTGCTATTTTTCTGCGGGCACATAAGATAGGATGTGTACAAAAAACTGTACACTCAAAATTGGAATTAATGTTTATCCTACAAATCGTGCACAAGGAATTAATTTAAAAGAAAAAGTTGTGCACATGTTTTTATTTACACAGTACAACCGAATTTTAGTTATGCACGTATGGCTGAAGAACGTGCACAA